TGCACAATGAAATGCCACTATCAGTAACTGCTTTGTTTATATGTAACTGCACTCCTAATCCTGGAAAAAATATTCATTACCATTAAAATATATTCATAATCTTGTGCACTGTCAATTTTAGAATTGGATCCTCAATACCAACATCTTAAATTTCAATGGAAATTTTGCAAATACTGATTTGTTACTCTTGCCATGCGTTACCAATTTTTCATTAGGCAAATAATCATAAAATTTAACAAAATGTTTGAAACAGTTTCCCTCAAATATCAAAGGCCAATATGGAGATGACTTCCACTCTGGAATAATCAACGTTCCTGAGGCCTTTTCCGCTACCATTTTGTTAATAACTCTAGGTATAAAACTGGGCGGGGGAACTAACCAATTATTTTCACTTACCCATACCTGTGTAAAAGCGTCAATTGCCTCTGTACCAGGACACCAATATTTTGAATTGAATCTTTCACATTTTTTATTGTAATGAGTTGCAAACCTATCAACAGTATGAACTCCCCACAATTTCTCATAAATGTCAAATACCTCATCGTTAACTGACCAATCATCCATGTCAGTTACACGACTCAAAAAATCTGCCCTTTTGTTTTCATTTCTAGGCTTCCATACATTTTGAACCTGAACACTGTTTTCACTAGAAGTCTCAAATATTTGATTTGCAATGATTTGTAAATATGGCTTTTTGCTCCAAACTTGCATAATTTTTGAAACGTTTTTACTGTCCGAAATTACATTTACCTTTGTGTTTTCAATGATATTGACTTCACTTTTCATAACCCTGTTAACAGTTTCAAGCTCTCTCCATGTTGAGCTCTGCATCGCTTCTTCTTCTGTCCAATTTCCAACTACACTACCCATAAAAACATTTTCATTTCTCTCATTCAAACTTTCAAAATAACCACCAAAGCCTACATCTGAGGCATCGCAATATAAATACAAATTGCATACATCTGATGTGCTTACCAAATCAATTGAACAACCATTTTCATTCAATGTTGACACACTTCTGCGCCAAAACTCAATTTCTTTCAAAGCTTCCGCAGTTATTTTTACCTGAGCTTCCCAGCTAGCTTTGCTTGATATGCAGTAATATAAAAATCTTGTTCTCATTCTAACAATATCACCAAAAATGACTTTCATGGATATTATTTGACCAACAATTTTAGCCAAAAATTTTACATGAAAATAAAGAGCATTTTTCTGTACTTGGCAGTGTAAAGCATCTAAGCAAGAATTTAAACGATGAATTCTGTCACCACTGATGTGAACTTGACCTTTTTCTGTATTCCACTGTAGACCTAACTATAAACAATTTTGACTTGGAACCCAATTACATTTTTCTTCTGCAAACAAGAAGCCCAAATTTTGAAAAATGTGTTTTATTGAATTACTTGCATTTGATGCCTCATCAAAATTTCTGCCTGCAGCTATACCGTCATCTAAAAATGTAATAATCTTTATTCCTTCTGACCTTAAGCGTTTCACGGGTTCTCGAAGAACTTTAGAAAATATGTACCCTGCTGTAGAAATGCCAAAAGGTAGTACATTAAAAACAAAATAAGAAACTTATCCATTTTCTTTCCATGAAAACCCTAAATATTGTCGATGTTCCTCGTATATTTCTAAATGATGATAAGCTGATTTTAGGTCAAAAGTAAACATAAAATCTCCGACTTTAAGCATTTCCTTTGCTGTCATAGCATCCTCGTATCTAAACTTAAACTTGTGTAAATGAGGATTAATATGTCTACAATCAAGTACCAACCTTGACTTACCGTTTCTATTTTTAGCCACAGTCAAAGGATTTACAACTGTAGGTTTTTCAGACACCCGTGACACACACCCCTTTTCTACCAAATTTTTGATCTCACCTGTGACGAAATCTGGTTCATCTCTCGCTGACCTATTGTTGTTTAATTCAATAGCCACAGGGTTAGTTTCGAATGGAATTCTATAACCTGACTTTATCACATCCAAGACTTTTTTACCTGTTCCAATTTTCTCCCACTCATCGTAGTGTGATCTTAAGCGACCAACTGGAGATTTTTTATTTATTATATCATTAAAATGTGCCAAAGAGCTAGGTTCACTTTATGCATAAAATGGCCCTGTAGATATACCAATTTATTGACTAATACTCCATATACCATTTTCAACATTATTATAAAGTAGAGACTTGGTGCTTTCAGTTTATACAACAGAATTTCCTTTGAAGAGTCCAGGCATTGAAAAACAGGTTGTGTGAAATTGCAATGTTATTGAATTTCGCAGAAAACAGGTGTTTTTGAAAACCTTCAGCAAAGAATTAAAATATGAGCACACCCCTCGATCCATAAATTAAAATATGTTTTATAATCTTCATTAACAGTTCTTTTACAATATATTTACACATTTTGGATCGGAGGTTGTGCCGTATATGAACTATTGAAAAATGGCATCATAATTTGGCTATTTTTGAAGAAATATTCAGGATATGAGAATAATGACGCAATTCATGACGTCATAATGCATTGACTAGAAAGAAAATTACGTCATTTTCAGTATATATTCATTCACCTAGTGCTCAAGTATTATTTACTGCTTTGTTGACTAAAACTCTACAGTTTTGAATTTTCAGAAATTCACAGGGCCAAAAAAGGCCCTAAGTGGCTCTTGCTCTTTGAAATAGATAAAAGATCAGCTAAGTTTTCACTTATCTTATTTGATTTGTCATCTTTCTTTGTGCAATCTCGACTCCAGTGCCCCTTTGCCCCGCAGTCAAAACGTCTGCCGGGTTTTCCACTGCTCGTTGACTTCTCGTCAGTCTCCATGCGAGTGGCTGTTGCCGGTTTCTTTTGATAGGGTTCAAATCTAGATCGCTTCCTCCCGTTGAAAACTTTCCTCTCGGCCCTCATCTGTGCTCTGTACATCTTCTTCTCATCATCCGAATCGTCTGCTATCGGGTTGGCTTCGTACTCTTGAACCACTCTCCAACCGAGCTGCGACGAATCGGCTAACTTAATAACTTTTTGACGATTCTTAACCAATTCTATACCTTCAGCGATACTGCTTTTGGTTGACTCCACTCCGTCGTCGCTGTTCAAATGCTCCCTGGCCTCCTTCAATTTGGTTAGAACCTTTCGCTTCATGCTTATATTGGTTCTCATTTCCTTTTTTACGGAAAACATAATGCTCATTCAAATTTTCCTCAATTTTGCTAATTTGAGATGTGGAAATTTGCTGAATGTTTTGTTGGAATACCGTCAAACGGCTGTCCATCATATCTTTTAGATTTTCTAACAATTCCGACTGTTGACGAGACACAGCTCGATTAACTTCTTCAGAAATTGCACTCTGTACCTGCCTGGCGTCCATGACCAAAACACGACTTGCTCGGGATAGCGTGCGCTAGAAAGTGAACTCTTACTAACCACCCGTAAATACAATCGAACACGTTTTCTCAATACCGACATTTCATTGGCTGAAACCTACATAACAATTTCACCTTAGTAACACCACACTTTCGTATTCGTTTACATGTCGTCAGGACAATTATTTTTCGCTATACTTCGTAACGCGAAAAAATGTAATTTTTTGAGAATTCATGAGGTACATGAACTACAACGCTTCACGCCTGTATATTTATCATGAAGCGCATTAGCGCTTCATGAAAATACCGGCCTGAAGCGTCGTTGTTCACGTCCTCATGAATTCTCAAAATATAAATTCATTTCTTAATTGAGATTGATCACTGTTCGTTATCTTTGCCTTTTTTCATGTTGATAAATGATAAGCTTTGATTGGCTGAGATGCAAATTTTGATTGGCTACATATTCAATCATTCGATAAGATGATTCCAGGAGCATTTCAATCCACCATGCTTTTTTTTTTCATTAAACATCTACAAAATTTCTCCAGGAAAAATGTTCAAAGGCAATGAAGTGAATCATCAGCTGACATGAGAGTCCAATGTTTTTGATAGCAAGTTAAGGATGTATTTCCCCAAACAATACTAATTACATAGTGATAACATATTTACACAGATCACCGACCCATTTGAGGAAAACGGAAAAAAAAACTTTCACAAACTTTCTAGCCCGCTTTTTTAATCATTCAATGTAGCATTGTAGCACTGTTTGATTGGAGATATGTAGCATTGTTGGATTGGAGAGAGAAAGAAAAAAATCTTAATTTTTAATAAAGCTAAATATATGTCACATTTCATGCTCAATATATTATAGGGGCAGTGAATTGGAAAATGAAGGCATTATTGTTGATACTATACGAAAGGGGTCATGTTACGTCGCAATGGAAACTCCAATCTTTACCACATTTTTACTGATATTTCCATAACAACTATTATTTCCTTATTAAAACAAACTAGTTTGTTAAAAATGTGTCTTTACAAATAGGGTAATGACTTTTGGGATTAATTTGTACTGGAGCTTTCAATGTCTGTGGGTTTTTTTTTTTTTTTTTTTCTAAATTTTCTAAATTTAAATGCATTCTGTGGATAAAAGGACAAATTCTCGATCAAACTGGGTAATACATATGCCTTGTCAGTGATAAACAAGAAGTTGGTCCGAAGAAAATAACAATTTATTCTACCTCTGTAGCTTCCAGCAGGGGCAATTTTGATATTAGTGCTCTTCTGGAAGTTCAACCTTTCTACCTCGACTTTGACAATATTTTTTTTTTAAATTACCAACAAAATCTTAATCATTTTATAGTTCTTTTGTGAATAGCTCTCGAGGGAGGTGAAAAATGTTGAAAATGATTTTTGGGAAATATCATTGTATGAAGCACATATTCGAGCCCGTGTATGTACACTTTCATCCTGTTACGATAGTGTAAAGAATATTGTTATACCATTAAAATTGTTTCCTATATATATCCAAACTAAAAAAAGTCTAACACTTCCAATATTTTTATTTAGCATATTGCTCGATGTCTAAAAGGTAGATGTGTTATATTACTTCCATTTAAGTACTGAACATTGACAAAATACCTTATCACTAATAAAATATTTATTTTCTTCAAAAATTTGCATATTCAACCCAGTCATGAATTTTAAAACCTCAAACTATCTCAACTGTTTAAATTCCTAAGTACTTAAGTAACGTAGTTTTTTTTTTTTTTTAGAATCTCTTAAATAAAGTGAGTCTGTTCTTGATGCTCAATTGCAATAGCAGTATGGTTCGGCAAGTTTATCGTGAATACATGACGATTGGTTGCCATATTTGTTAGCTCGGTTTACTCTACCTATGACGTCATAAGACCCACTTGAACTTATTGTTGCCTCAAAAAGTGCATGTCCAGGAACAGTCTCAATCACACTCAGGTAAGTTTTCCCTCCCATATCGGGTTGAAAAAACAAATTTCGTATAGAAAATTCCTCCTTTTCTTTACGGCGCTGTAAATTGGATTTTACCAAATATGTGTCTTTTATCCTTGAGAGTTTCAGTTTCGCACACTTTCCCCTATGTTTAGTTAAATCTTTGTTAATATAAGAAACTAAAAACTGTGCTAAGTTTTTTGAAATCTTGTCATTATTGTTCATTGGTTCGTAGGAATTACACACGCAGTAATCCCCTGGAATCTCTGCATCTTTACATGATCGCCTCTCTGGGATTTCCCTAAACAAGCTTATTCCCCTGGGAAGCTTTTTCATTTTTTCTACTGACTCTATACTGCGCACAAAGTTACTTTCTAAAATGTCTACTAGTGTTTCATGAGCGTCAAATACAGTTGTCAATCGCTGAGTATTTCCTTTAAGGTTTATGTGAATATGAGGGTATTTGGATTTTATGTGGGGAGGTATAACGATGGCAAATAAAGGCATACGATTTTCAGTCCTTCCAGCGATTGTATTTTTAATTTTATTCTGCATTATACCATGATCACTCATCAGTATTAGTATAGAATTGGACAATTTCCCTGACTCCTTCAACCATTCAAAGAATAACTTGAAATCATTATCAGCCAACTGAACTATGTTATCATATTCATGAGTTAGATCAGTTAGCCAACTCAATGCAAATTTTCTTGTATTAGCATACATTTCTATGAATTGTTTGTAATATTTCATTAATATTTTATGCTTAGGTGTGTTACCTATACACAAAGCTGAGCTATGCAGAAAACGTATATTGCTATTTTCCCACTCTAGTAAACCACTATTAACATCGGGCAAATCAAATTTTTTCATCGCAAGATAATATGGTCTCATGTAGTGTAGACAAGGCTGCTCCTTGAACCCCTTCCAGTAAGTAAATGAACCCATTCCAGGTGAATCTTCGGCAAGAAGTGTAGCATAACCGGAAGCACTAAAATTTTTCCATATAAACGGATAAGGATCTAATATTTCTTCATATGAGGGCAATTCTTTTGAATAACAAACTTTCCCTGTAAGAAGACTTATCAAGTTTGGGAAAGTATTAACTCCAACTTTTGTTTGCCCTTTCATGATGTACCCTCCTAGATTTTGCTCAACATATCGCAGAGTTTGTGGAATTGTTCTTTCTGCAGCTAATCTAGAAAGCGAATCTAACCCAAAAATGTATACATTTAATTGTTCATTCGATTCATTTAGAAAATTTAATTGCCGCCTTCGGGATTTGTAATCAATGCTGTGATGTAATTTTTCATATATTATCGCATTTTTATCAGTTTGACACTTCACGAGGAAAAAATCAGCACGAACATACACAGGCTTTAAAAAGCGCACTTCCGGTTCTTTTTCAACATCATAATCTCCTTTGCGTTTTATTACCGAGTAACTACAAGATACAGCTACGTGACCTGATTTAGATACTGCAGTATGGTTTACTTGCAAATAACCCCAAGAATCAACAAACACGAGATCCGCCGATTTCTCGCACTGAATAGGATTTAAACGGTGAAAAAACTTCATGACGGAATTGTCATGTGCGTCTAAATTAGGTAATTCACATTTCTTCCCTGTGTTTTCGTTTATAAAGATGTATTCCACTTCTCGGTTAAAAATAGTATGGATATGGTACACACAGTATATTCCAAGGACGACTATCAAATATCTCTTGTACTTTTGTTTCCACCGACACATTCTTTGTGTGACCGACTTGAAAAACGCCATCCTGAATAAAATGTATATATAATTTTTAGATCGGTTTTTATTCATGTCATGATTTGCTATTAAAAAAAACAATCTAGTTAGAATGGCATCATAGCTTACTTTAATTAAGGTGCGTAAATTCAGAATTATCTCCTATCTATATAAATATATGTAAAGACATGAGGGTGAACTATATTTCATAAAAGTTTTTTTTTTATATAAATTAGTTTCATGGAAATAAATTTTAGCATCACATGACTTTACATTTGTCATTTTAAGTACAAAGTATAGTATAAAGGACATAGTACTCCACTGCTCTATTTAGATAACGTGAGGTTATAACTTTAGCAATAGACATTTTTGAAAAAGGAATAAAAAAAAACATAGTAGAATTTCCTCATTAGTGATCCATGTTTCAATTTAGAGTTTATTTTTCATAAACAACTGTAACATATATATATATACAGTAAGAAATGAATATACAGAAGATTCTTTTAGCGTGCATCCGTAAACGAAATGAATTAAATTTATTATTACAGTGAAAACTGTCTAATCCGACACCTGTGCAATCCGTCACACTGTAAATTCCAACGTTAAATTTCATTCCCATTTTACTATTTTCTATGTTTTTTTAACTGAGCAATCCGACACCCTATCTATTCCGACAAAAAATTTGTCCCCCAGTGCATGTCGGATTACACAGGTTTCACTGTATATATCTATAATAGTCCCAAGACAGCTTGTAAGCACTCATGTAAAGCTTGTAGATCAAATGCATTAAGTCCCACAAATGCATTAAGTCCCAGGTCTCTCTTTCATCTATTTTGCTATCAATATTAATTAGATTTCCATTTTATATAATGAATGGCACCGGATTGAGTAAAACACTCAACACATGTTGTAGTTTACACGCATGTACATGTGTTTATTCTGACAATGTTGTTAATCGCGATTTTCAAAATAAAATTTGTTTTAGTGTAGTAAATTTTATAGCGTATTGCACTATGAAAACTTTGTTAACTTACCCTACGTGCAGCTGATATGCATTTGCTCATATGTTTAACATTCCTTTTTGGAAAGACTCGGAAGATATCGATAAGATAACCTTTGCAAGCTTCAAGAAAGATTAGTACACCTCATTCATTTGATACTGAGTGTATTTTACATAACATTTCAATAGTTTTGCCTCTGTGTAGAATATTAACCTAGTTAGACTTTTTTCATCAGGTTATAGTAAAAATCATTAAGAAAAATAATTGTAATAAAAAATATTTCAGCAGTTAAAATTAATTAAGGCAAGTATTTTACAATCAAACTATGTTTATATCAAAAATATTTCATATAGTAATAAAATATTACTATTATTATATTTATGCGAAACCGAAGAAGAGCCAAATCTCATGACTACTGCTTTCAAATCACACCAACACCCCCAAAAAATGAACAATATGGGGGTTTTTTTTTCAATACACCACATGTTGATCTTGTAAGATCTAAAATGAGAATATGCTCTGTCTAAAGCAGACTAAATTGCTTTACCTACTTCAACTTCAACATTTTTTTTCAAATGAGAAAGATGGGACACAAGAAAAAAGAAGTTAAATATCATCATTTGACAATATTCAAAAAATACAATTTCTACAACGAGCTAGGTTCACTTTATGCATAAATTGGCCCTGTCCTTATATCAATTATTTGACTGTCACCTTCTGTCCCATTTCATATATCAAAATAAAGAAGAGACTTAGTGCTTTCATTTACTATAAGAAAATTTCTTTTTGAGAATCCAGTTATTGAAAAACAGGCTTTGAGACAATGCAATGTTCTTGAATTTTGTAGAAAACATGCGTATTTAACTACCTTCATCAAAGAATTAAAATATGACCACAGCCCACGATCCAAAAATTAAACCATGTTTTGAGATCTTCAGAAACAGATCTTTCATTATGTTATTGCATATTTTGGATCAGAGGTTGTGCTCTATATGAAATGTTGAAAAAATCCTCACATTTTGGCCATTTTTAAGGGAATTTACAGGATATGGGAAAAATGACGCATTTTATGACGTCATAATGCATTGATTAGAGAGAAAATTACGTCATGTTCAATAGATACACATTCACCAAGGGTCCAAGTTATAAATACTGCATTTTCAACCAAAACTGAACAGTTTCGATTTTTCAGAAATTAAAGGCCCTAAGTGGCTCTTGCTCTTTATGTAAAGGTTATGAAAAGGTATAAATGTTGTTAATGTTTTGAACTTTAAAAGAGTATGATTATGATACACTGTCAGGCTTGCCATAAAAAGTCACGACATTAAGGACAGACGATACGTTCCTCAATAATATATAATTTTTTTTCTCAGATTTTGTGTTTGAAGTATTGCTACTTTAACATGTTTAATTGTGAAAAATTGAGGTACCTTACCAGGTATTTGTGCAAGATACCAGAGGATGATGTTTTCTATAAAATCCTTCTGGAAAAAAAACTTAGTTAGCCAATAACACATTTTTTAGCGTTTCAATTTTTTAAAGACAATTAGAAACCCGTTTAGGAATCCGAAGGTAATTAAAATTTTGAATATTTTCCACACAATACGAGGACAAAACAGATATTTAAGAAACGTATCGTCTGACCTTAAAAGTATTAATTCAATCCGAATTACCTTAATGAAATATATTTGGAGATAACGAACAGTATTCAAGCTCAAAAGTCCATCAATCAATACAAAACAGGAGCAGAGCAAACACGGACCCACAAACATCAGATCAGGGGATCAGGTGCCATGGAGGAGTGAGCATCCCCTGCCGACCGGTCACACCCGCCGTGTGCTCCCCGCCACGATCGGGAAACAACGGAAAAACCCGTCGACAACCCAGCGCGCAAACAATGGCCCAACAATTAGTACGAAAAACGTCAGTCAGCATCCGACCCAACGATAAATTGTATTTGCTGACAAGGTCACTGTATCGACCATAGAACTTACGAAATGATGACTTAAGTATCCTAAAAAAAAACATATACCTACAAAAAAGTAGGATCGAAAAATCTTTAACTTCAAAACGCCTTAAAGAAGGAAAATTCAGTCCAACAGTTTCTTGATTGATACAGACAAACGTTTCACTTTGTCATATCATTTATCTCAACTGGTACATGCCCGATCAGATAGTTGGAAAAATGTTTGAAATTGGTATTAATTGCTGTTATATGATCTAGAAAGCTCAACAGTCCATGTTTACGATCGTAATTATTACCATTTTTTTACGAAGTAAATATTTAAATTTTTCATAAGAGTACATGTAATTTACTTCATAAAAATTGCAGAAATATACGCACTTAATACGTCTTTTTTTATTGGTGAATAAGAAGTATGCGTAATAATCTGCACTAAAAATTACACACAACTTTTTTAACATTAAAACTGCAAACATTTTGCAGAGTCGTAGGCAAGTTGACTCAAAATATGACATCAAATGGGCACAGAGAATTGACACAGAAAAGTACCCTAACATGAAATATGGAGATAACGAACAGTATTCAAACTCAAAGTCCATTTAGACAATACAAATCGGGAGCAGAGCAACAACGGACCTCCAAAAACATAGTGAGAATTGTGGGTAATATCCCTACCCAAAATGATGTAAGGAATATGGAAACACAACATACATGTTCATTTAAATATGATTTCTTGAAGTAGTGCCAGAGATTTTAAAGGATAAATTCCGTGGTAATTTAGGAAAATTATACAATATTTGTATATTTATAATAAAATGGTGTCTTTCGCATGTACAATGCCTAAATAGATGTCAGGGTTTGATAGATGGTGAACTAACCGAGGGCAATATCGATAAACATTTTTTATTGATTATTAGTCATGCAACATGCAAATCACAACATACTAGTATTCTCATTAGATTTTGAAGTAAATTTTCTCATACAAAAGGGCATCCACATAATTCGCAATTACCCTGATTCATATCTCATGACATTTTTTTTTTTGGGGGGGGGGGGGGGTAGTCAAGAAAATGATTTTTAAAAACATGTATTTGTCATAACAACAAATGCCTGCATCACAAGAATATTTTAATTAATTTATTTAGTCTTTTTTAGTAAAACGAATGAATATCTAAGAAAAAAAAAAAGTTTGACATTATTTACCAAAACTTGTACAGTTGTCACCTGTTTTCCTGCTGTCACTTAGTATCCTATGTAAAATACGTTATTAACATTATATATTTCTGACACATGCTATAAAACATACAACTTTTCCACGCTAGCATTTTCTATCAATATTATACAATTATTGCTGGTATTCGAGGTCAATACGATGATTTAGACACCTGAGGAGTACAATATTCACCGAGCCCGAAGGGCGAGGTGAGTATTGTACTTCGAAGGTGGCTAAATCATCGTATTGACCTCGAATACCAGCAATAATTGTTTATATGATTAAATGATTAAATGATACACACTCATTAAGCAATCCATGCCATCTAACTTGTTTACATCTACTGAAGTACTAGCCGAACATAATGAGAGAAACGGGGTTTAAAAAAACAGTTGTATTATTTTGGAATTTTTAATTCTAGTTTAGATGCAAAGGATTGATTTTGAAAAAGGGGGCATTAAAAGGGAAAAAATGACAACTAACCTGAAAACAAGTCTTTGACTACCCCTCCCCCCCCCCCCCCCCGCCCCAAAAAAGGAAAAGAATTCTCCCAACTCAAAATTTTATTTGGTGGGATGTAAAGGTCCATAAACGAGTGGAGGGGGGCTTTATTGAAACTTTTATCCTTAAAATTTAAATTAAAACTTTACATTCTCAAAAGGTGGGGAGAGGGGCAGGCCTCCTGCAACCCCCCACCCCCACCCCTCACCCAAGAATCTATGTGCCTTAATGTTATGTTCATATGAGTGGAAGTCACTTGGAAGTGAAATAACTTTCCAAAACTATATGCATCAATTTGGAATTTCCCTATCTATTTTTGGTCCAATGTAGAATAAATAATTCTTTATATTGATATGTAAGGTCACGTGCAGGTCAATATAACGTAGTATTTTTCTAACATTGCTGGATCTCAGCCAATCAGAGAGATGGGAATTATTCAATCATACAATAATATACTTTAGATATAATGTCAACACTATATAGTGAAAATTTGTTTAACTCTATTGAAGCTAGTACTTTTTTCCCTACTCAATTAAAATGTAGAAAATTGCTAATATTAATTTCATTAATTATCATTGGATGACTCTGTTTGATCTGATGCATCAAATTTGCTTTCATCATATAAGGATTGCTAAGAAATTAAAACTTAATTTCATTGGGCTTTATCAAAATTATTCGTCTGAAAAATAGGCTATTATAAAATTAATTAAGAAATTTTAATTGACTAGAAAAACGTCCTCTTTTTCAAATGGCCATTTTAACTAAGATTTTCATGGCAAGTACTATAGCTGCAGATCTGTAACTCGCTGATCTGAAAAAAAAATAGGGATGGGTGACCAGAGATTGAAATAGCGTAAATTTATTATGCACGAAAACGTGCGCTGTTTCTCGATTTATTTTTCCGTTTATTTGAAAATATTACCAACAGTGTGTTCCTAACATACCATCCTTTTTCTTAGACCAGCGAGTAAAAGATCTGCAGCTAGGCAAGTAGGCGAGTTCATATGTTTATTTACTGAACACAGTGGATGATGCTAAGAGCCTTTCAACCTTTCCTTTAAAATCCTCAGTGATAGAACTTGAACTGATTCCTGTCATGATTAGTATATATTGTCTTAAATGTGCATCAAGTATAAAAGATATGGCACAAAATACACCTGCAGTTAAGTTTAAGAATTATTTTGAATATTTTTTTCATTTAATCATGTTTTATTCAATGTGTGCAGCCTGTAACGGATTTACACATTGGAGATTTTCAGATTTTAATTTCATTGGGAGATCAGCTTATATACTCTCAGATGAAAGCATTACATCAATTCAAAACCAACAAAACATCTCCATTAGACAGGGAAGAGTGAAATTTATAAAGAACTACAAGTAATTTAAACTTTAATTAAGTTTTCAATCATTTGACTGTAGATTTTCAATGTCATTGAAAAGAAATAACAAGCAAAAAACGTTAATATAAAAATGCTTGTAGTAAATGATACTATACCAGTTGTGTGAAACTCGACTTTAGACAGTCATCCTGTTGCGTGTATGTGTGTGCTAAAAACAAGTGTATTTAAGGAACATTTAAACCGGAAGAGCTTTCAAGTGAATGCTATTAATTGACATTTGTGTATTGTAAAACAACGGCATCCTAACATCCATACATGTTAAAACGTATTATAACCCAGCACTCTTGATAAGGCATTAGGTCAACTGTATCATTTTAATCAGTAAAGGACAAAAATGCATACATACTTTCAAACAAATCTGATATGCCCCCTTAATCGAAGATTTGGTCGGATATTTTTTTGTCTGTCCGTCTGTCTGTCTATCGGTCCGCAAAAACTTTAACCTTTCCCTTAACTTTTGAATGGTTGGTGGCTTTCATATTTCACATGTGTATTCCTTGTGACAAAACTTTTCTTTGGGTATCAACATATTTGACCTCTTGACCTTGACCTTCAAGTTTGATCTATTTTTTCCAAAAATTTAGCAAACTTTTACCTTGGCCATACATTTTGAACGGTTGGAGCTGAGTTTGACCTACTCATAATAAACTGTTACTATGAAGGCTATAAATGATTTAGAGTTTTATCCGTAAATGACGTAATCTGTATTGTCTGTGAACATTATATCATCAGTTATTAACATGGCAATTGATGAAGCATACAATTATATCAATAATGTATTAAAAACATATTTGCTGATACTAGCTTCATCATACGATTAAGAAATTTTGTATCATTAGTAGTCAATTCAAGATCTTTTTTCAGAATAAATAGATATGTTTAAAATTTTGACTAATGTGACTTTGCAGTTTGGCTGGAATCAAGCCCTTCCCTGTATATTGCTCAAATATACTAAGATATACACTTGCAGCCAAAGGCACTAATACCGTGATATTTATTTGATCCGGTGCTTGTATTTAATCCTTTCCTTTCTAAAATAGAATCAAAGATTTAATTAAGTACCATGTCTTCCTCTAATTTTGGTTAATCAAATTTGCTCTTATCCAATAAGGATTGGTGGTAATTTTTTTTTTCAAATATGTCGGAAAACAGTTAAATAGGCTATTGAAAATTGAGAAATTTGACTAGATAATATATTTTTCTCTTTTGAAAGACATTTTGAAATAAACTAGAGGAACTGTGAGTACTGAGCTCACAAAATGAAACCCCCGTTTCCATATGAGTATAATGGCAAAGTCCAATTTTACGCTATGGGAAAGCCCAAGTATCTGTCCGATCAAAACAAGAAGTTGGAGGTGCACAATGGCACTATGTAATGAGGTTTTTATTGAAGGATCATTAAATTTTATTCAGTGGTATAGGAGGAGATGTACATAAGAGAAAGACCGCCCCCCCCCCCCCCCCGAGTTTACAAAAAAAAATGAGACTGTTCATGTTTTGCTGTGGGAAACTCGAAATATGTGACCGATCAAAAAGTAAAATAGGAGGTCGCAATGGAACTATGTAAGAAAGATTCTGTGAAAGTCTCATAAAAATTTAATTCAATGGTATAAGCAGAGTTGCAGACAAGAAATTGGTAGCTCAAAGTGTAACGGACGGACGGATGGATGGACGGACGGAAACTCCCATTATTATACAAGTAAATATGTGTATAACTGAATACTGTAGATAATGATAAGTACATTTCAATCTTTCATAGAATTTGAACTCCGAAATAAATAATAAAATCTATAATTTATTTATTTATATCGTATGTGACTCATATTTAGAATTAAAGAAGTTCGATCCTTAGTGTTTGAGCAGATTTTTGTCTGGACCTTTATTTCTAGAATTCTGCATCATATTCTAGTTCTTACATTGAATTTGAATTCTATAATGCAAGTTAACCAATATCCAAGTAAATGCCCACAAATAAATTCCATACAAAAAGCATTAAGTGAGGAACTATATTTTGTGGCGGAAGGTTTTCTTAGAAGAAAATGATCATTTTTTTCTCTTTCGAAGTATTTACAGTACTGTAAATTTTGGGTTCCTTTTTTCCATGAGGGCATTTTGTGCAGTGAAATGTTTTTATGCTGATCCTGAAATATTTATTAAATTTACTTATATGAATTGTGACAAATATAGCGAGTATATTCTGAAAATCGAGGAAAAAAAAGACCCGAATTTAACTTGAAATTAAAACTTTTTCTTTAATATCTAAAAATTAATATCATAGACCCCCACTTTTGGTTTTCTTTTCTGGTAACTTAAGTTAAACTTAAGTTTAAGACTTTCGAATAATTTTCTGGCTTGTTAAATGCCAGATAAATGACATTTTTGAGTACAGGAAGGTCAAATAATTGATTATGTGAAGCAATTTTAAACTTTTTCTTAATCACAATTTTTAATGTGTCTTTTAAAGATAGATTAAGGTATATTTGGTCCCATTGATTTGGATAAAAAATTTTAAAAATAAAAACTTCGGAAAAAGTTATGTTTAAGACACAATTACAGTGCAAAAGGGTCATGTTAAGTGTACCGTAGCGCCAAAAGAAGCGTATTGACCCCCATTTTTTTCTTTTTGATTTTTAACTAAGCTATGTGTGTAGATACTAAAAATGTACTTGACAGAAAATTCTTAAGACTTTTGAACGCAGGATCCAACCTCCTTAAGTAGTAATTTAGAAGTAATGCACTACAAAGTAAAATTTCAAAACAAGCTCTTTTCTTTGGGAGAAAGACTATAAGTCGTGAAAAGCTTTATTTTAATTATAAATGTCACAACTTTTTTATCAGATGAAACTTTAATAAATTTAGCATACTGTGACAAAATTTGACATAGTCATTGTTGAAGATAAAAAGATAAATATTTATCAACGTTTGTATCATGATTGCGGTGGTTTTCTTTTGTAATTGAAGTGTACAATAACTGGAGATACAACTGCTGTGGGCGGAGCTTGTTATGCTGCAAAACAGAGCTGCGTAAATAATGACATGCACACATCAACTAAAAAAATAATAAACCACTTGATCAAACTTTTTTGGTTTTTAATCGTTAGTATCTTGACAAATTTAATAAGGTATTAGTCCAAGTTTGTATGTAGCATTCGATATGAAGACAAATTTTATCTTCAACTTTCGTCACGGTAGCCTTTGGTGGATCTAAACACGGACTACAACGTATTTACACAAGATATTATCATTTAATTTTGATATGATTTACGATGTGACCATTTGGGTGAGCGCATTTGTACCATCAAGCCTACACTTGTAACTTTGGTACGTCTCTTCAACAGCGTTCAAAAATCGAACTGCACAAGACACAGTCTATAAACTATGACGTCACATTATGTATGTAAGTTGCAATGTTATAACGGAGTCTAAACAGGCCTAGGCTAGTGCAGTTTTTTAATGAAAGGCGTTGTAGAGTTGTAGAGTACATGTGATTATTTTGTTTCTTTTAAACTCTCTGCAGGAACTAAATATGCACGATAGCTGCAGGCCTGTTATTCGTCATTATTGCATGGAATCATGGCGGCAAAAGAATTCTGGGAAGGTACGGATCTCATTCCGAATTTCCTCTGTACTTACACGTTAGTCCATAGAGCGAGCAGCGCTTAGCGCGGCTTGCTGCGCTTACAACAGCTTAAGGTTATTTTGTTTCAAAACATTTTAAAAACTAGTAAAATCAAACAAGTTTAATATTGCGTTAATATACGCTTAGTCTGCACAAGACTGCAGGATTAAGTAAGATGCCTCGGTCACTTTAGGCACAATAATGCATCTCATTGGACTTGGATTGTTATTGATGTATTATCTCGTGTTTGGTTCTTTTTTTGTATCTAGAACATAAATTATACACATCAGTTATTATATATTTATTCCGGTGTATCCTGATTTATTTGTACTCAAGCTCAAAGACCTTCGTCCAAATCAATAATTTAATTTTACCTATTTATTGGCTATGAGAACAAAAGCAAGTCTATTTTCACCCCAAAATAGAAACTTTTAGTCGCTATCGAGGGGAACAATAAATTTGTTTGTCCGAATAGACAGTAAGTAGATGTTTTATTAAAGACTTGTGTGACGTCACGATCCTGACAAAACCAGAAAAGTTTTATCGTTGCAATGGCAGAGGGAATTGCATTCAATTCTTCCCAGGTAAGTCGTTGCTAAGATTAATCCACCATGTTTCCACGCACGCAAAGAGGGTTTGGAGTTAATTTTTTAAGTGTCTCATATTTCTTTGAACAATGTGTAGATTCAAACCAGAATTTTTCCTGTATGTACACGTCATTAGAGCTCGCTGGGCTCGCTTTAAATGGTGTCATCCTTTAATTTCTATTTATATCAGAAAGGATACATAATGGTTTGGAATACACTGTATTTGTTTGTCTAGCTCACTATCTGTTACAAAAATTGAGTTCGGGACATACATTCCGCACAAATATGGAAATGAAATCAATTTGTTGTTGCCCGTAAGTCTATAGAGGTGTCATTATTTTAACTCAAATCTCATATCTCAAAGTTCAAAGTCACTGTGATAGTAAAATATACTTAGTAGTCTGGGCTATAACTCTGAAATCCTTGTTTGGAATTAAAGCTGAACACGACTCGTAAATAGGCATAGGCCATATTAATTTTACTATCTCCGATATCAGCACTGGGGTATACACTTCTCATTTGTTACACCTGACTGCTTTCTTGTCACGGGAACCTGTGAGGAATGGACGTGATGGTTACCTTATATAATTTTTGTTTACATTTTATCGTATTTTACGTGTATTTGTGTTTTTTGTATATTGCACTGACCTGTGCAACTGTTGGAAGTTTTTTTAGTATCTTTCTCTCCTGCCGTGTAAGATCACACATTTTTTTGTCGCTTCCGAGTGTTTTACTTTGTAGCATACGTCCTTCTACACGTGTGACAACTGATTACACTGAACAGTGACTAAGTGAACAGCTTATATAGTGGCCCTCAGATATAACGACTGAATAAAAGAATTTGGCGAACAATTATATTAAGAAATCGTGTTCAGCTTTAAATCAAACTTGAGATTGTAGTGGGCAGCAAGATGTTGAAA